ATAAAGTCACATTGAGAAATGATATGCAACATTTACTGCATGAGGATTCTTCTCCTTTAAAACCCACACCTGTGCTTTAGAAATTTTTTTTAATACTAAAATTCATTCTAAGAATGAATACTAAGATCAGAATCTGAAGCATTTGGAAATTTACTGTCCTATCTAACCATGGTGATATTCAACAACTGTGACACACAATAACAGCACTTTGCAAACTCTCCCAGGGCTTGCTGTGCCTAATGAATGATAGTAATGAACAGAGAATTTTGCATTGGAATGGGAGAAGAGATGGATTTTAGATACTATAATTGATACTATAATTGATAGTAGCTTTTAGATACTATACTTTTAGTAGCTTTTAGATACTATAATTGATTTTAGATAATATAATTTTATATACTATAATACTATAATATAAATGGCTTTTAGATACTATAATTCTCTCAGTTCTGAATTGCACAGAGAAATGGGGTAGTAGTGTACATTCTTTGTAAATGGAGAAAGTGAATATAGTATTTGTGTGCTCATGCGGGTGTAGATATAATGTTATGAACCAGAGTTACAAGTCAAAGGAACATAAAATTTGGAATTCACTATCTGTGTGCTCAAGTTTCCACATCTGCAAAATGGGAGTAGCCCCTTCACTGGGTTTTTAAAGAATTATTATATAGGATAGCAATGTATACCCAAGGATCAGGGACACAGTAGAAGCTCTTCCACATAGGGCACATACTTAGCAGATTATAACAATTAACCAGAGTTAAAAAAATAAAAAATAAAAAAGACTGACTATTCCTTGTTCTTCAGACATACTTGGGAAAATCTTGTATTTGGGTTAGTAATTGTAAAACCTAGATCTAATTGTACAGACATGAAATTCCTTACAAAGCAACGAGTCACGCCTGTGGGGATGGAGTAAGGCTGGCCCCTGAGGGGAGTCCTCTGCTTCATGCTTTGGAGTGCACTACTACTCTGTGCTCTGTCCCAGCAAATGCCTCAGAGGCTCAGTCTGAGAGCCCCTTCTCTATGTAGCCAAACTTTAAACCAGCCCCCATGAGAGAACATCAGTGCTCAAAGGATTAGGGCCATAAGCGAGAATGACACCCAAATCCCCCGGGGAGAAGCAAGCCCAGAAGCCAGGGTATTTAGATACCCGGCTTGGACTGGACCTGGGATCCCCAGCGCCTTCTCCACCCCCAAGCCATTCCCTGGGTACTCACTGCGCTCTAACAGTGGCCAGCGCCGGCGCAGACCCGGCGGTCCGGGTGCTGTTGGTCTCACGTGTCTCCCGCAGTGGCCTTTGGTGCGCCCCTGCTGCCAGCTCCCGCTCTCAGGCTGTGCTGGCCACCAAGCCTCCCCGTGGGGGCACTGGGTGGCAACGATGGCCGCGGCCACCTATCAGAAGGAAACTTGCTGAATAGTCCAGCTGCGGGGCGTGCAGCCCGGACCTGTGGTCCCCGCTAGCTGTCCAAGAGGAGGCGGGGGATTCCGCCACTTGTGGGCTGTGCTTGTGTCGCCTTGAGCAAGGTAATTCTCTCTGCACACTGCATTAAAAATGTGGGTAATCCAGCCTGTGTCATGAGACAGCGCAGATTGACTCATCGAGTCAGCGCACAGCAAGATAGGATAATGGAGACACTCTTGCTTTGGGCTCCCACCGCCTGGGAGCAGTGGCACTCTTGGCGGCACTCCTCCAGAGAAGTTTCCCCGAGGTGTTCTTCCTCTAAGCTCTCAGGACCGCCCAGCTCTTACCTCCCCCTAGCGCCCCGGTCTAGAGCCCCGGAGTGCAAGACCACCCACTGGGATGAGGGAAGAACTTTCATCTGTATTTGCTTTCAAACAATTAAGAAAGAAATTAGTTTTGTCAATTTTTTCAGTTGTTTCTTTTATTTCGATTTCACTGATTTCAGCTCTGATTTTAATTATTTCTTGCCTTCTACTGCATTTGTTGTGGATTTGCTCTTCTTTTTCTAGGGCGTTGATATGTAGTGTGAGATCATTTATTTGTTGGCTTTCTTTTTTTGAGGAATGAACTTAATGCAATGAATTTTCCTCTTAGTACTGCTTTCATAGTGTCCCATAGATTTCAATATGTTGTGTCTGTGTTTTCATTTATCTCAAAGAATTGTTTAATTTCCTCCTTGATGTCTTCTGTAACCCATTGTTCATTCAGTAGCATATTGTTCATTCTCCAAGTGATGTAGGAATTTTTCTTCCTTATTTTATCATTGATTTCCCATTTCATTCCATTATGATCGGATAAAATGCATGATTCATTGGAAAGCTGGGAATGGAACCACCATTTGACCCAGCTATTCCCCTTCTCGGACTATACCCAAAAGACCTAAAAACAGCATACTACAGGGACACAGCCACATCAATGTTTATAGCAGCACAATTCACAATAGCTAGACTGTGGAACCAACCTAGATGCCCTTCAATGGATGAATGGATAAAAAAAAAAAAAGTAGCGTTTATACAATGGAATATTGCTCAGCACTAAAAAATAACAAGATCATGGCATTTGCAGGGAAATGGATGGCATTAGAGCAGATTATGCTAAGTGAAGTTAGCCAATCCCTAAAAAACAAAGGCCTAATGTCTTCTCTGATATAAGGGAGGTAACTCAAAATAGAGTAGGGAGGAAGAACATGAGAAGAAGATTACCACTAAATAGGGAAGAGAGGTGGGAGGGAAAGGGAGGGAGAAGGGGAATTGCATGGAAGATGGAAGGAGACCCTCATCGTTATACAGATTACATGTAGGACGATGTGAGGGAAAAAAAAAAGAAGTGTGTCACATTAGATTGGGTAGAGAGAAGTGATGGGAGGGGAGGGGAAAGGGTGATAGGAAGGGCAGCAGAATAAAATAGACATTATTATTGCTGTATGTACATACGTGACTTTATGACCAATATGATTCTGCAACCTGTACACTCAGAAAAATGAGAAATTATACCCCATTTGATTCAAATGTATGATATGTCAAGATAATTGTACTGTCATGTGTAACTAATTAAAACAAATAAAAAATAAAAATTTAAAAAAATCTAAAAAATCCAAGAAAGAAATTAACCTTTAAGAGTTAACTTGACACCAGCCATAAATAGTAGTGCGGTTCTGAAGAGGGACACAATGCGGGGAGTGGCAGCGGTGCCCTTGCAACATTATTTCATTGAATCTGGGAATTGATTGGTCATAAAACATACCATAATGTACAGGTAAGAAATTAGAAGAACTGTCTCATAAATTATGGCACAACATTTTCTCATCACTTAGAACCTTTTAAAATTGTTATATTTATTGAAATATTCTTTTTAGGTTTATTTAGACTCCTGTTTATTATCCATTGTTCATGTACATTCGAAAGAAAGGCATAGCTAAATCAAATACATTTGTAAAAATTTTCTTGATATATATTCACTTTTAGAGCCCATCACTCCTGACCGCTTGTTTCACTCAGTGCCATCCCCAGTGACTACTACTAGTGTTACTACTAGGCAGCATTTCTTAAAACAGTAGCTCCCCACACCCCACCCCATTGTCTCTGTAGTATTCTTCCAAACCACTGAGTCCAGTCCGGGTTTGCTGAACCTAAGGACAATGGCCTCACCGTACTGCTCAGGAAGTAACTTAAGACCTCCTGTAATTTAGGAGACCTTAAATATGAACATGTATGTCTTATGATTGACAATGTACAAATTATGAGATTTTGACATACTGTAGTTTACATTCTTCAGTAATTTGTGTATGTAAATAATTTGAAACAAGTAACTTTCAAATTATAGAATCAATACTACTTTGTAACAAGATGGTACATTTTTATTGTGAAAATCATTTGTAACAAAATTAAAAGAGTTGGTTAAAAGTGAGTTATTGGGGATAGGGTTGTAGCTCAGTGGTAGAGCACTTGCCTAACATGTATGAGTTACTGGATTCCATCTTCAGCACCACATGAATAAAATCAAGTTATTATGTCCATCTACAACTAAAAAAAAATTAAAGTATTTTTCAAGAAAAAAAAATTCTAAACTTGCTAAGTTTTTCTGTGATGATATATAATTCTCAATAATACATTATTTACCTCTGTAATGTATCTAAGAAATTTTTTATAAAAATAGTTTTGAAAACCCCCCAAACTCACTGGTTCTTTTTTTGCCCTTTCAGATTATATTAACACCAAGTGAGAAGATGTTATAAATAGAATATTTTTTATTTGGTGTTAAATCCAGGCGTGCTTAATCACCGAGCCACATCCCCAGCACCCCCCCACCCCCTTTTTTGATTTTGCGACAGAGTCTTGCTAAGTTACTTAGGATTTCACTAAGTTGTTGAGGTTAGCTTTGAACTTATGATCCTCCTATCTCAGCCTCCTGAGAAGCTAAGATTAAAGGTGTGTGCCACTGCACTCAGCTAAAGAGAATATTTTTTGTTGTTGTTAAAATTTTTTTAAATATTTGTTTTGTAATTGGACACAATACATTTATTTTATTTATTCATTTGTATGTGGTGTTGAGGATCGAACCCAGGGCCTCATATGTGCTAGGCAAGTGCTCTGCCACTGAGTCACAACTTCAGCACCTTTATTATTTTTATTTTTTAAATTTTATTTGTTCTTTTTAGATATACATGACAGTAAAATGTATTATACATACATGGAGTATAACTTCCCATTCTTGTGGTTGCACATGATGTGGAGTTACACTGGTTGTGTTTTCATATATGAACATAGGAAAGACCAATTCATTCTGTCTTTCCTATTCCCATACCCCCCCTCCCTTCCCTTCATTCCCCTTTGTCTAAGTCAAAGTATTTTTATTCCCCTCCCCTACCCCTCATTGTGTGTTAGCATTCTCTATCAGGGAGAATATTCAGCTCTTGGTTTTTGGGGTTGGCTTATTTCACTTAGCATGAGTCTCCAGTTCCAATAAAGACCATAATTTTATTCTTCTTTTTTTTTTTATTCTTGTAATTTTATTAATAATACATAAATGGTTAATGGACAGGCATCACCAACTTGACTGACCTAAATTAACTATCCCTGTGGAAAAAGTATTTTCTATATTATCCAACTTACCAATGATTGTTCATAAGCTGGTTAAAAATGTCATCTTGGACCCAAGTTTACACAATAAATAAATCTAACTTTTACAATCAGCCATTATATCTTTAAAAAAACAAACAAACAAACAATGTCACATTTCTTCAACTTTTTAAAACACTTGCCCCCAAGTTGCTTGCTGCGATTAGAAGCACAGGGCTGACAAAGAAATATGAGATAAAAATCTCTGTGAAACTGTCCATCATTAATGCTTTTCTGATGGGCAGGACTTATACTGATGTATCAAAAATACATTTTGAAGAATAATGGAAAAAATACCCTTGTTTATTTCTTCAATTTCTTACCCCTTAAATGTCCACATTAATAAATCTTACAGTCCATGTGAAACATCTCAACACGTGAGTTATGCAATGTTCACCATGGCAAAGGGCAGACCAAGAGCCAAGGGCCTGGCAAGCTGGGAAAGGCTACGCAGTCCTCTCTTTCTCTGCTTTATTGACCTGGACACAAGTACATATGCCTGGAAACAAAAGACAGAACCTTGCAGTATTTCCACAGTGATAACAATTAGCTTCCCCCGCAAATAAAAGTAGCCACGCCGTCTGAGTCCAGTCACACAGAAAAGGGCAGGCAGCTCCTGGAATGCCAGCAGCGGTCCCCGGCTCTGTCTCCGTCGTGGCAGAGGTGGTCATCTCCACTGTCGGGCTGCCCGGGGGGTCGGCAGTGGACACTCTCACACGGAAGGCAGTCTGGTGGCTTCCATCTCTGCAGCACGGTTTGTTCCAGTATTTACAATGCATTTCAGTGAGCCACCTGCTCCACTGCACATCCCCATCAGATGACATCCAGGGCATCAGTAGATCATCACCCTGACTGTATGTGAGCAAAAGGCTTGGCCTGGCACAAACTCCGGACAGTCGATCAGCCGAGAGAAGTCAGTCTGTGGCACGCTTCTGGGAGGGGGGCCCGGGATTGGCCATTTTTCTGGTTCTATCTTTTTCCTCATTTTCTCATCCACAACTTCTACTTCTGTGCTGTCCTTCAGGGCCTCTAAAATGAGATTAAGGTTTGTGGTGAGAGCCTGAACGCGGTGAAATCCAGCAATCAGGGAAATAGGCAGGAAACCTTGCTCATCCATCTTTCTCCGAAGAAAGAAGTCACGTTCCAAGTTTTCTATACTGAAGTAATATTCAATTTGATGCTTAATATACTCTTTAAGCAATGCTTCTTCCACAGGATACACCTGTACACCCGTACCGTCATCATAGTAATACATCATACTGGTGTTAATTTCTGTTTGAAATGGCTGATCCGTCCTTTCACCATGTTCTCGGTAACCATACGAATAATCAAAGTTTACTCGAGGGTTTCCTCTGCCTCGTCCTCTTCCCCGTCCACGTCCTCTTCCTCGACCTCTGAAGGAACCTCGGATATTACCCCCCTCACTCCTCACGCTGGACACTTCATCCTGATCATCTCTTTTTTCTCTGTCTCGCCTCCAACTTCGTGTGTCATTTATCCTGTTATTATGGGATGACTTATTTGCTTCAGGTTGACACCGAGAGCTGTTCGGGGATCCAGGTCTCTCTTGACTCTCTGGTCTTACATCGTCCAAGTGCAGTGGTACCCACTTGTGTTTATTAGCTCTCTTCCGCTGACTGCTTGACTGGGCCTCGTCCTCACTCACATTTTCAACAGGACCGTCTAATTTTGTTTCCCGGTTTTCTTTGCTCTCACTGTTACTCCTCTTTTCAACCTTCTCTTCTTTTTCTTTTCTAATTTGTGGCTTCTTATTTCCTTGGCTGATGACACTCTGAGACTGCAAAAAGGTTTTTCCAGTGCTCACTAACTCTCCTGGTGTTGGCCAGTTTGCCATATCGCTGAAATCACTGGCCTTATTGGGTTTCCTTGTCTTGAGTTTTCCTGCTTTTATAATTTTGGGGGAACTGAGCTCGGCTGCCGCCTCGCCGGGCCGCGCGGCGGCCGACTAACTAGCCCGCCCGGTGCTGCGGGCCCAGGGCCGGCCCCGCCCCCGCGGCCGCAGGGGAGGGAGGCGAGGGCGGGCCCCGCAGGCCTCCTGGTTATTCTTCTTTATGGCTGAGGAATATTCCATTGTGTATATATATCACATTTTCTTTATTCATTCATCTGTTGAAAGTTGGTTCAAAGTTTAGCTATTGTGAATTGAGCTTCTATAAACATCCATGCGGTTGCATCACTGTAGTATGTTGATTTTAAGTCATATACTGAGGAGTGGGATAACTGGGCCATATGATGGTCCATTCCAAGTTTTCTGAGGAATCTCCATACTGCCTTCCAGAGTGGTTGCACCCCACTCTGCAGTCCCACCAGCAGTGTATGAGTGTACCTACCATTTATTAATTACTTGTGTTCTTGGTAATTGCTATTCTGAATAGAGTGAGATGAAATCTCAGTGTACTTTTAATTTGCATTTCTCTAATTACTAGAGATGTTGAACTTTTTTTCATATATTTGTTAACCAATCATATTTCTTCTTCTGTGAAGTGTCTGTTCAGTTACTTTGCCCATTTATTGACTGGGTTATTGTGTCTTTTTTTTGGTGCTAAGTTTTTTGAGTTTATATATATATATATATATATATATATATATATAGAGAGAGAGAGAGAGAGAGAGAGAGAGAGAGAGAGAGAGATTAATACTCTAGCTGAGGTGGAGATGTCAAAGATTTTCTCTCATTTTGTAGGTTCTAAATAGAACATTTTAAAAGAAGTAGTTTATAAGGCAGTCCCCAAAAGTCAAAGATTGAATGTTCTCTAACAAGTGAAAGCTACTCCAAAATAAGGGTGGGGGGCGGATAAAAATAGAAGAAAGATCAGTGGAGTAGAAGAAGAGGAATGAGGCCGAAGGAAGGAAGGATGGGATTGGGAAAGACAGTGGAATGAATCTGATCTAACTTTCCTATGTACCACGTGTGAATATACCACAGTAAATCTCACCATCATGTACATCCACAAGATACTAATTAAAAAAAAAACTATAGGTAAATATGCAAAAGATCAGTAGACTAGAGGGAAGGGAAAGGGGAAGTCCTGGGAACTGAGTTAGAATAATTGTACTCCATGATTTTATACTTAGGTCAAAATGAATCCTAATGTTATACATAACTAAAAAGAACCGATAAAGGGGGGAAAAAAAGTCCAAGTATTTCAAAACCTTGCCATTGTGTTTTTCTTGCTGATAATTATCTCAGCTTGCCACTTACAAAAAAGAAAGCTTAAAAAATCTTGGAACACTGGGTACAGTGGTGCCCACCTATAATCCCTGTAATCCTAGAGGCTAAGGCAGGAGGATAGCGGTTCCAGGTCATCCTCAGCAATTTAGGGAGGCCCTAAGTAATTTAGGGAGACCCTCTTAAAATAAAAAAAAGAAATGAATAAGTAAAAAGGACTGGGGTTGTAGCTCAGTGGTAAAAGTGCTCCTGGGTTCAATCCCCAGTACAAAAAAAAAAAAAAAAAGAAAGAAAGAAAAAGAAAGAACAAGAAAAGTGGGGAGGGAGAAAAAAGGAAAAAAAAAAAAAACCTTGGAAACAATTTACTCTCTTGTTTCCATATATTTTTTTCTTGTTTTGGCCAAATTTTGTTTAATAGAAATAAGACTACATTTTAGTAAACAATTGAAACAAAGAAAAATACAAAAACTTGCACAACATTCACTGAAAGAATATATACATATCTAACACAATTACTTGATTACAATGGTATGACGGCTGTGTTATCTAGAGTTAAATGAAGTACAATTTATTGTAATAAATATTTATCATAATATGTTATTTACTTGTGTGCAAAGGACTCAATTTTTAATGTGAAAAAATGAGCTTGCTCATTGATTCACTGAGTCTACACAGGATCAACGGCAATGTTATTCCTAGAGGCTAACATTATTAACCTACTTTGATTTGTTTTTAATAACTTTTAAAGTAATGAGTCCAATCTCACATACCTCTCAAAATCTAGTCTTTTAATTGAGCAGTTCAGTGGATTTTGAACCTTTGTTAAACAAACAAACAAAAACAGGATTGGGCATGGCTTCTGATTATTTAGAAAGAACAACTGATTGAAATCAGAATAAGATTATGGGAGCCAAAGGTTAATAATGAGTTTGCATAATTTATGGATCAGGTTCTTTTTCAATAATTTTAAGGGAGAAGAAAGCCTTTTATTTTGTTCATAAAGTAATTATTCAAACATATATTTTATTCCATGTTATTTTTAGTTTCAATTTATATTTTTATGTATGACCATATTCAGATGTGTATGTATATTCATGCATATGTAGGATATATTCTTAAAAACCTTTTTTTTTAATTGGAGGAGTACATAATCTAAAATGATGAAAGATCCCTGCTCTACTAAGTTTTATCTACAGCATCTTACAAAATTGCTCAGTCAGACACTAGATGGTGTTCCAAATACCTCTGAGGCATTTTCTCTGTGGGGGTCAGATGAGAGATACTGGAGCAGGACTGGACTCTGATTTTTAAGCAAGCACAGTAAATAATTGTGAGAATACAATAAGATTCAGATAACAATGATAGCCTTCTTTGGTTCTCTTTTTTTCAAGAAGTCAGAAGATAACTAATCTTATGTAAATATTATTAGAAGAACTGTCATGCCTTCAGACCATTCCACGCAGGGTTCATGTTGAGGGAGCATTTGTGTTACTGTTAATAGTAGTTCTCTTATACTGAATGCTGCCTGGATTATAAGCTCCATGAGCACAAGGATCCCATGTGTTTTGCTTACTCCCTTATCTCCATCACCTGGTGTATGAGTGGTAGGGGACAGGTAGCTCAATAAACATTTATTAAACTGAATTGACTTTTTGTGGAGATACCTTGTTCTCTTTGATCAAAGTTTGGTATTGTTGAATCTTCAAAACTTTGAACAGTTAAAGGTAATTGGAGGGCTGGCATTGTGGCCCAGAGGCAGAGCACTTGCTTAGCATGTGTGAGGGACTGGGATCGATCCTTAGTACCACATAAAAATGAATAAATAAAATGAAGGTGTTGTGTCCATCTACAACTTAAAAAACAATTGGAAAATTATATATAGTTGTTGTAAGTCAGTGACCCTTCCATCTGTAAAGACCTCTTTACTTTCCTCTTTCCATTCTATTCCTTTTCTTCCTCAGGACTTTGAGTAATAGAGACATGGAAGTGGCCTGTGGTTACCTGACTAGTGAGGAAGAACAATCAACAGCCACTCTCCCCCCCAAAAAAACCCCCCCAAAATCCAAGAAAACAAAAAATAAAACAAAAAGCAGCTCTTGGTTCTGTGCTTTCTTCCTAGTGAAACAAGAGAGCCAGATCCCATAAACCAAGATGTCAACTGTGTTTGTTGGGGTGATGATTTTTAAGTCTATGGGTGGATACAGGCTTCTGCACAGATGAAGGCCTTTGTAAATCAAAAATTCAGTGATGCGAATAACCACAGTGACAGTGACAGAGGCTTTTCTAGGAAATACTAGTTTGGTTTCCATTTCCACCCCTTTAAAGGTCTACTTTGGCTCACCACCTTGAAAATACTTACTCACACTGTTCTCTGAGTAACTGAGATGTATCCTGCCTAAATGTCACTTAGGATAAATAGTAAGAGGTGGTGGCCAACAGAGAGATTTTAGCATTAGATGAGTGCTGCTACCCATGAAACTTGGCAAGAAGTTAACATGATTTTAACCTTTTACTTACAATGAAGGGACTGCATCCAAGAGTAATTGTTTATCCCTCCTGCCTCATTTTCTGCAAGTTTAATTTTCAACAGTTTTCACTGACTTATTAATTTGATTCATCATTCCAAAGTGTTAAAGGATATCAGTATAACTCTTTAAATATACTTATTGTGCATTGAAAAGGTTTAGATACATATCATGTTAGGTTCTTAGATTCTGGTGAACCCTTAATATTCTCAAAACAGAATCTAATGTTCATTCTCAATGGACATTGAGCAGGCATAGACACCTCTTATAGATGGACAAGCCACATGGAAAATGTCATGTCTTAGAGAGGAACAATGCATTTGCAAAAGGTCTTTAGATGGCCACAGGCCTTGCTAAATAAAAATAAAGGGTAAAGAGTAAACTGAAAGATTGAGATGCCGCGTCCGGCGAGGGACGGCGAGGTTAAAAGACACACAGGACACCAAGGTTCTTCATCCAGGAGTCACACACTTTATTGCTAACACACTTTCTTTTATCCCCAAGCAGCAGAAGTGGAAAACTACCCAAAAGCAGGAGGGAGGGGGGAGAAATTTAGTTTCAACATCTATTATTGTCAGGTACCGAAACCTCCCTTAACAAGAAGTCCATCAGACCGGAAAAGGTCAAGGCATTCCCGAGGGACACATATGTCTCAGACGGACAAGCAGGAACAGAAAAACCGCAAGTTCGCCATGGCCTTGTGAGCTGGCCACACTGGCATGCAGAACAAACTAGTGGAGGTTGGGCTCCAGGGGCCAGGGTGGACCTGCTGCCAACATTGAGACACATTTTAAACACCGAAGGACACAGGTTCCTGCACCATAAGAACTTGGTTCACAAACTGGCTCTGCTCCTCTCAGCAGCTCAGTGTAAACACAGGTGTTATGGGATTCAGGGATCTTGTGACCCAATGACAGTTATCTGGCCATTAAGGTAGAACTGTTGGTGATACAAAACTTGGTAGGTTAACAAAGAGGAGAGCAATTCACATACAAGCAAATTTCTCACAAATAGTAAAATTTCTCAAAAATAGTAAAATTGTACATGTATTCTTTTTTTTTTTTTTTCTTTTTGTGGTGCTGGAATCAAACCCAGGGCCTCACACATGCTAGGCCTTTTCTAGGAAATACTAGTTCTAGGAAATACAAGCACCCTACCCGTGGGCTATATCTCCCATTTTCTCTCTCCCTCCCCCATCTCACATCTCAGTGCAAGTGTGAAGAGTACTGTGGGATGTGGGTTTTTGGTCAGCATTAAC